TGCTACAAACTAATATGAACTTACATGCTTAAGTAGAATGAATGAGCTCTGATTCATTGTGTCTCATCTGAGTAGGAACACCATCTCCACCAGTGTCCATTCCTAAGTGGGTAAATTTAATGAGGCTGTACAGTAATATCAGAGGAATAATGAAGTACCACATTATTGGCCTGTAGAGCAGCAGTGGGCACATCTATTCCATCTTCTCCGTCTCTATGTTGCGAGTCAATGGTGCCATCTAGAAGCCAGAACAATGCATTAATGTTGAGCCACGCAGTTTATACAGAGGTAAGTGAGCGTGTATATATAATATCGGCGGCCTAACCTTCAGACAGGCAGACAGATCCCCCATCATTCAAGTCATCTCCGAGTTCAGGCGTTCTGAGGCACTCCTCGTCAGGGCTGTGGCTCAATGGAGATTCGTTTCCCGGGGATGAGGTTGTAAATACAGCAGGCCCACCTTTAGGTGGAGGGATTTCAATACCCATCAGACGGTACTTCCTCCGTCTGTTACTGATCCATGTCTGCCGATTGGAAAACAAAAGACAACATAGTATGTCTCTCACAGGTGCTAAAATTCAAGGAAATCAATCAGATTTTCATAATAAAGTGTCCAATGTGATGCATATAAAGGAAAAGCCAGTTCTTGAAAATAATAATAATCACACCATATAGCCTATAATCAATGAGTATAGATGTATGACATTAAGCCTTAACTAAATTAGTCTAAAGTACTTAATTTAGTAGTTAAATATTTGAAGATTATCCTATAGTGGTGCTTCTTCCTTGCAATAAATATCCCAGTAAATGAGATGGCAGTGGGTCATGTGTGTGTCACGACTGGGAGACTATATTTAGTCCAACAACATTCCTGCCGTGGCCTTGATATATAACTGCATGACTTTTACACAACTTTGAGTGAGTAAGTTAGAAAACTTCCATGACCTAGAAAAGTTACTCTTTCCTGTTTTCTTTTTCGCTTACAAAAGTTCAGACAAGTCAAGTAGTCTTGTTTTCTCTAAATGTCATAGAAAAGTGTCCAGACAATGCAATTAAGGCTCAAAACTTTCTCAGCCTACAAAACTCTTTTTTCAATGATACTGCAGAAATTAGATGCCAGGAGGCAATCTGTACTTTTCTAGAGTTATCTTTATTTATTCAACCCTGGTTGATTACCTTGACTATTTCAGTGTCTACATTGAGTTGGTTTGCTGCAGCAGTGATCTTTTCCCTGCAGACTGAGCCCAGGCTGGTCATGCCTCGGTCCCAGTAGCGCTTCAGTTGGATGAGATCCCCATCACTGAACTGGGTCCGATCCTGCAGCTGAAAACACAAACCTGTGTTTAACTACAGAACATTCACAGGAATAGTGAGCAGCTTCATAACTCACCAGACAGCATCACTATAAATGTGTAATAATGATACAGTAGGAGTTTTTCCCCCCTATATTATATATTCTAAATGTTGCATTTAAAGTGACAAAAAAAGTACTAACAGTTCTCTTTCTGGAGTTGCTGATAACCCATGGGGCGGCAGACACGCCAATTGAAGTCTGCACACAAACACAGACACATCCAGGTTAAGTCTTTCAACTCACTCTGATGGGAAGCAGCAACGACACACAAACCTCTCCTACCTGTGAGCTGGATTCCACTGTAAGTGAGGTCTGTGCTGTGAGGGAGTAGCTGCCCTGAAGAGTTGTGTTGCTGTGGAGGAGTGTGGATCTGGAGCTAGTCATAGGGGGCGTGTGGCTTCTTCTCACCACAGACACTTCAGCCCTGGTCGGGCTGACTGGCGCCTGCTCCCTGTGAATGTGTGTCCGAGCAGCCATATTTGCCAACTCCTCTTCCCTTTGCCACTCATCTTCTTCATCTCCAGTTTCCATGGCGATGGAGAAGTTATGGCTGGTGTCCAGAGGATGGGGCGCTGGCTTATGACTCTCCTGGCCTTTCCGGGTGGACACTGGACTTGGCTTAAGTCTCTCGCCCTCGTCTCTCTCTGACAAGGTGAAGACCTGCTGGATACGAGGTGTCTGCTCAGACGAGGGACCAGAGTTTTGTACTGGGAGGGAGACCCGAGTCTTCTGAGGGGCAGGTGGTTGAGGTTGGGGGTTGGAGTGAGGTCTGGGCTGAAGCTGAGTCTGGGACTGTGAGGAAGAGGACCAAGGGCGAGTTTGCGCTGTACCGTACTGCCTAGTCCAGCTGTGAGGTACCACCCCTGCTCCTGCACTTACCCCTGCCTCCCCTAGGGATGAAGTTCCCTTCCTGACCGCAGTGTAGACTAAAGGCCCTGAGGCTGATGTGAGGGATGGGAGGTTTTGAGACAGTGAGACCAGCTTGGAGTGGAGGGGTGAGGAGGTGGAGTTGCTCCTGCTCTGCAGGGCCTGGTTGATCAGAGATGAGGATGTGTGTGCAGAAATCTCAGAGTCTGACTGAGACGGGGGGGCTGTGGGTCTTGGTCTCGAGCGAGGGACGGAGTTGAGAGAGTAGATCCCGGTCAGTATGACGTCGTTGTTGTTGTTGTTGTTGTTGCTTCCGCTGCTGAGGGGAGAAGAAGAGGAAGGAGACGAGGATGTCGACGAGAAAGAAGGGAAGGACGAGGATGGAGGGAGAAGGTGCACGCGATTCTGGAGGTTCCGCGCTGCAGCCATTTCAGCAGGAAGCAGCGCCCCTGCCGCCAGGCTGTGATTGGACAGAGCACCTCCAGCTAATGTGTGATTGGACAGTAGTCCCCCAGCGAGTCCGTGACTGGACAAGGAATGAGACACGCCTCCGTTCTGTTCTACTTTGGAGGCGAGCTTACGCCTTTTGTTGCCAACCCATGTCTGCGGGGAAAAGAGCAATCAGCTCAGTGACATCACTTAAAAAAACATTCAGCAAAACACTAGAGAGACTAATTCAGCAAAGTGAAGATAATAATTCATGACTCTGCAATAAAATGAAGGACTCACTGGGAAGAGACTAGACTCACTGCCTCAATTACTGGCCCCAGCATTACATGGGCAGCCGTTATAAGAAACACACAAGCGTATTTACCCGGACCACGCTGAAGTCCAGTTTGGCCTCCTGAGCACACTGCAGTATTAGCTGGAAGCAAGCCTTGCTCTGATTGGTCATCCCATTCTCATAGTAACGTTCCAGGATCCTCTGCTGTTCAGCCGTAAACACTGATCGCAGGTTCATCTGAGAGAAGACCTCAAAGATAAAAAAAGCCTCCAAAACTTTATATTACGTAAGAATTCACGACTGACTGGAGCTTGCGAACAGATTATGGTGGATGATTAGGTTAAATAGATAAAGTGTTCAGAGCTAATCTATAGCTTAATTACACTTGTAATTTCCTGTCATCAGCTCATAAACTGAAATGAGATACGTTTTTGAAGCCAATTTAATTACAAAGATCACAGTATTTTTTCATATTAAACATTAATGTAGCAAATGCATCTTTTAATATATAATAAGAACCTGTATTTTGTTTTCAATTTGTCCGAATTCTTTGTGAAAATGATCTTTTTACAGCTCAAACTGGAATACAATTGTTGATATACTCACAGCCTGCAGGCCACGCCTTTGTGGCCACGCATCCATTCTGCTACTGGAGGGGAACGGGGCGGCCATGCAGATCACAACGAACCCTCCATGTTTCTAGATTAGCACAACTTTGAGTGTACTCATCCTGTCTCAGTAACCTGGCACACTGCTGGGTAATGTGGCTGAGGAGAGAGAAAAATCAGAAAACGTGTAAATAAAAAGCTCAATCCCAAGTCATTACGAGCACACTTCTGGTCTAAAAATAGAACAGGAGACTAGCAATCTTCTCTGGCTCAAGATTGAGAAATGCAACAATGAGTTTCATCATTTCATGTAGACAGCCAGTCAACACATATAATATGTTAAAACAGTTTGAAAAAGTTAGATCAAGCAACGTGACGCTGTAAAATATACGCCATGCTGTCAGTCAAAGCATAATAAGCTATGACAAGCCACTGTGTAACATCAATAACACTATCAATCAAGCTAATATGTTGTCCCTAGCAAGACGTTGCTCTATTTATCAACTGAAAACCATTTACATTTTTGCATTGAAGAGTTAAAATTTGTATTAATTAAGTATTAATTGCAAATTATATCTTAAGAGTTTTTATTTTAGTTTGCCACTGAAACTGTGCGTTAATACACAATAGGTGCTGGAACTGTTGCAAACAGGAAAAAGCTGTTTAAATAGACTGTTGCACTGCAGCGCAACAACCTGCTTAGGTTTCATCAGACAGTGAGTGTTGTGTTCCTATTTCTATATTTAACTTTTTTATCAGTTATTAGACTTTTGGAAGGAAAAGGTTGCATATGATGTAGTACTGACTATTCACAACAAATTAGAGCTTGCACACAGATCATGGTGGATGATTAGGTTAAAGAGAATAACTATATTTTTGTTGGTTTACATTATATTTACATTCAGATATTATACATACATTGTAAATGCTTTTGGCAATACTGCATTTAACGATGGTCGTGAAAATAAAACAAATATGAATTTAATTACTTTTTATCTTATTAATCAAATTACTAAAGTAATGTTACAGATTTTCTTAATTAATTTAGAAATGTACTCTGTTTCTGAACATTTCTTCATCCTAAAAGGATACTGCACCAGTAATAAAGACTTCTGTCTGTCTTCTGTCTTATTAGTCTAATAGTTCAAATAGTATCTGACTTTTTGGAAAAATAACACACACGGTCAAGTGAAAAAAAAAAAAAGAAAAGAAAGAAAATTCAGCTCCAAACTTTAATTGTTAAAGTTGTTTAATGAACAATTAGTTTTTAACATGCCTTCAAAATAATAAGAAACAGTGACAGTCGAAGTTGAATAACTTGCTTTTGTGGACACAGCTCACTTTTATCAAATAGAAATAGAAATGAATGAGGGGTCGGGTGTTATGAATAGGAATTTATAAGTTTCGAAGCAGATCTGCATCATGTTTGTATACTGAGAGGGAACGGGGGGAGAAAGGAGGGAGTAAAAAGGAGGGAGTAAAAAGGAGGGAGCAGCCCGGTTATTAAAGTCCAAACACAGAGAGATGAAAAAACTCTGCAGACTAAAAATCCAGCTGCTGTTACAGTTGTTGGGAGGCTTTTGATAAACACAGAAAATGTCACATACGGGAATGTTGTGCGACCAATAAGCATCCAGCAGGTTTATTTTGGCAGGCTGACTGCGCATGGCTACAGTCAATATGGAAACATTACGGAGAGAATTAGCGAACAAATTGTGGGCACGTCAGGTTAGTACGCCACCGAGGCGACAGCCCGGGGATCCAGAAACACTGTAACAACACAGGAAACTCGTGCCATAACTTTACGACTGCGAGCCAGACAGTAAACAAACCGGGTAAGCGCCGCATCACCACAATGGCCATGCAGACAGCTTGGCGTTAGCGTGCAGGCCCGAGCGGCCATATCCGAGCCAGCCAAAACGCTAGCTAGCATTAGCATTAGCTCTCCCAGTGGATAGCTGCAGCTAAACTTTTCCTTTCAAATCTGTGATTTCCCGACCCTGGCATGGTCATTCTCGCTGACCCTGGCCCCCGGCGGACACGAGCGGAAGCGATCCGGGTTGCCCCGAAGCTTTTAAAGTGAAATCACTTTCCTACTCACCATTTTTTGTTGTCAAAATCAGACGAACGTTCCAATTCAGCAGATTTCTTCACCAGTCCCCTTTGCGAGACAATGAAATCAGAACGTCCGATCATCAATTCTAATCATGATTGTGACGTGTTTGCAGACAGGAGCCAATGGGAGCTCAAGATCATCGCTGTGACATTCGGAAAGGGCTGAAAACTGAGCGCCGTGGTCCCGCCCACCATTGACTTTGTTCAGTGGGCTGCTGGAGGAGGAGGTCACAGACATGGAAGCAGACGAAAACTTTGGATGGTGAAAAAGCGGTTTGTTTTCCTCATCAACCTGAATATGTCAAAGTAATCCATTGGTTTTTTTTAATTTATTTTTTTTATGTCTCCACTGACATTGTGCTTGGACAACGCTGGGAATGCTGCCAACAGGAAGCAGCAGTCAGTTTGAACTGACTGGATCACTGCAGGCGACAATATTTAATAAGTAAATGTTGGGTTTAGATTTCTATCTTTTAACTTTTGATCAATCATTCATTTTTATATTGACAGGAAAAGTTTGTGTATCAGTGTTGCTTTTTTTCTATTTCACAATGTTTAACTTTTGGTACTTTTAAACATTTTAAAATAGGCATTTTTTTTATTTATTATTATTGGTTTACATTATATTTGTATTCAGATTTGTGTTATACTTACATTGTAAACCTTGTACAATCTGCTGTGGTGATACTGCATTTAATTATGGTCATGCAAATAAAATTTCATTTAATTGGAAATTTTTTAGGCTACTTTTTTATAGTAAGTAATCGAATTATGAAGATAGTATTACAGATGTTGTCTTGAAAATGGCCTAAAAGCTGCTATAATGCACTTTAAGTCAATTAGACTGACTTATTACTGTCCTATTACAGTTTAACTGTAATTTATGGACTAACATATTAAGGAGAGAGACAGAAAGACAAGGAGCCTGGAAGAACATCTATGAAGAATTGTGCAACAGGGCAATAAATGTTCCCTCCTTTAAACCAGGACTAAATTATTATTATTACTCTGTAGAGGATGTCTCCCACTTTGAAGGTTCACTTTAGAGCTACATTCTGCAACAAACTTAGTCAGTTCTGTGTAACAGAAATAAAGTCAGTTTGTTTATAACCACTGTGTTTTGTGATGTTTTCCTACTGTGTGTGTGTCCTTGCTTTTTATAGGTGCTCACATATCCATTCTCTTGAGTGTTATTTACATATTTAAAATCCCAGGAAGGTATACAGACACCACTTGTGGTTCATGTCCTCAGTGATACAACGTAAAGTTTAGTGTCGACTGTGATGATAATGATGAAAGTGTTGGTGCTTGGTGTAACTGTACAGGTTGTTTGTTATCTTTTCTTTATCTATAAATATCTTCTTTTTTTATTTTGAGACATCTATCTATCTATCTATCTATCTATCTATCTATCTATCTATCTATCTATCTATCTATCTATCTATCTGTCTGTCTTAAATGCCTGCCTATCTGCTTGACTGTATCTATCTCCCCATGTATAAAGTGACTCTTATTTGTTTGTGTGTGCGTGTGTGTGCGTGTGTGTGTGTGTGTGTGTGTGTGTGTGTGTGTGTGTGTGTGTGTGTGTGTGTGTGCGCGCGGACGGGGTGCTGCCTTAATCCATGACGTCACCTGTGTCCCAGGTGCGCAGCAGGGGGCGCTGTTCCTCACAGCTGAGCCCCATGCACCGAACAGCAGCGCCTGACAACTGATGCTGATTTCCTCATCCACAGATTGTGAACTTAAAAAAACAACAACAAAAAAAAAAAAAAAAACAGCTGACATGTGAGCCTTACCTCGCCTTGTGATGTAGCACACGCTGCCAAGAAAGAAAAAAAAAAAAACATGCACACAGCATTAATTTGTCGATGCAAGCAAAGACTAATCCTTTCCCTCACCTTGGTACACAAAAAATTAAATCATGTCTGTAATATTTCTACAGGTATGAATAAAGTATTTCTGTGCCACTCAGTAGCTATTGTACTTTATGCATGATTTATTACGGGTTTTTTCTGCTTTGTATACAATTCATTAAAAGCTTAAGTTATTTTTGCACAAAGCCTCTCCTGCCCTCTCTCTTTATGTATGTGCATGTGTGTGTGTAAGACAGGGTGGGTGGGTGGGTGGGTGTGGGGTGGGGGGCAGAGAGAGATCCTCCCTATATGGTGTGCGTTGCACCATTCCCTGGTCTGTATTATGAGTGGTGGCCCTTGTGATGCTGCAGCGAGGCGGGCGGGAGGAAAAGAAGAGAGGGGAGGGGTCGCTCCATCCCCTCGCGCCCACCGAATCCACTTCTCACAGCGCGCGGGCTGCTGGCGGGAAGGCACGAGAGAAAGAGAGAGAGAGAGAAAGAGAGAGAGAGAGAGTTAGGGAAAAGAGGGGAGGGAGGGAGGGAAAGGAGAGAGCGTTTGTGTGCGTGTCTCCTGTGTGTGCGCGTGGATTGCACCACCGCATCCCGTTCACCGTTTCTGCAGGCGGCCATGCTCTGATGGAGAGAATAAAACTGACAACCCTTTCTTTTTCCTCAGATTTAACCACCGCCGTATCATTCCAGATGTGACTGACAAGTCGTTTTATGTCGCCTGCATTGAGTCCTGTGCTGTTCATCTCGGAGAGACTGTGACACCATGGCTTTGGTTATGGAACCTATAAGTAAATGGACACCAAAGCAAGTGCTGGACTGGATGAAAGGTAATTTTAATTTTAATTTTAATCTCTTCATTGCATCAGGCTGGTAACGCTGCTTGTGGTTAGAGTGAGGATGATGGTGATGGTGATGATGATGATGATGATGGTGAGGATGAGCAGCGGAGGGCCACACTGTGTGCATGTGTGTGTGTGTGTGTGTGTTCTCCTGATCCAAACCTGCAGGCTGACGCGTGATTTCAGCCGCTGTAACTGACTAGTGTGAGACTGATTAAAGTCACTAAAGTAGAGTGAATGCGTTTGAGCCGGTGCAGTGAAATGGATGTCCCCAAGAAGCAGGGAGTGGAGGCTCAGCATTCTGTCATCTCGCTTGCTTGAGAGCGCACCCCTCAGCAAGCCAAGCCTATGGGCTGCTGCTGCTGCTGCTGCTGACTCCATCAGTAGCAGCAGCAGCAGCAGCACAGCTCTCATCAATGAATGTGGAAGATATGTAATCTGCTCTTTCACTCACTGCCACATGCTCTAAGCCCATATCACCACTCGCTGTGTGTGTGCGTACGTGCATGAGCGCGTGCGTGTATGATTAATGTAGTTAGCTGCATGCACCCCCCCACCCCCATCCCTACCCCCACCCCCCCATCACCAATGCCAGCCGTACAGTCAGTTTCAGCACCCTGGACAGCGCAATGCCGCCTGCCATATAAGGCAAACGCACCGATCACACTCGTTTTTTTGGTTTTTTTTTTTCATGATGCTCGCTTTGCTGGCGCGAGATACGTCCCTTCAAACAGACAGTATGAATGAGTAATCACTAATCATGCGTGTATGAGTGTGTGTGTGTGTGTGTGTGTGTGTGTGTGTGTGTGTGTGTGTGTGTGTGTGGTAGGAGCTGCTCTCACACACAGTGGTCAGCTACGGAGCTGTGACAGAAACTGTGGTAGGCCTATTGACAGACAATGGGGAGGGAGGGTGTCCGCAAACCCTTACTTAAGAGAATGATTAATTCACTACTGTGTGATGACTCAAACTCACAATGCATGTTCCTGTGGATAATTGTATCTGCAGTGATCACACACACAGAGTGACCATCTCATCTAAGAATTTCTTAAAACTCCGTATTCCTACATGTGTTTCAAGACTACTCGAGCTCCTTTTGGTTGTGATAAAATGGTGATGGTAAAAACTCATGTCTGAGATTAGAAGTCAAGGTGGATGTTAGACCCTCAGGGGACACGGCGAGAGAGTATTTGGGATGCGTTACGTTAAGTGATTACGATGATGTTCCTGGTTTTATAATTGCTCTTCTCAGCCACAGTAAGAAGCAGCCAGTGGAGTCACGGCTTCACTGTCTGATCCCTGGAGTGTTCACTTGGAAAGCTGTGCTCCTTTGCACTGTTCATTAAGAGAGAGTTTCAATTTTATTGGGGATTAGATTAGTAACAGGCCAAATATGGTTAGAGTTTTGAGACGTGGAAACCCAGAAATGTTGGTTTTGGTCCAGTTTTTTTATGCCACTCACAGTGTAACTGACCTATGGGCATATTTGTGCTCAGGATATCTAAAAGTAAGACAGCAAGGAAGATAGAAGTGATGGAGATTTTACAGAGAGAAATTGCCTTTCCCTCACGTTAAGCCGCGACAGAAACTGTGAAGTTAATTACACCTTGTTTTAAAAACATGCTGCCAGTTTAGGGCCCGTAAATTAATTTATGAACTAGCCAGTCCTAAAAAACAAAACATGTGCAGAAATATAATCCTAGATGTGGCAGTATTATGTATTCCACCCAAGGAAAACCAATGTTTCCCCCTGACTGCATATGAAAACCATACAATTTTGTAAATGAACATTTTGTAAGACACGTTGGTTTTGGTCTGCTAATGAGGAAGAGACAGTTTTATATCAGTTTTTTCCAGATTCTTGTTCCTCAATCTCAAATAGACAAGAGGAACTGAAAGACAGCATATGGAGATGTAAGTGAGTGTCATGATTCAAAACTACGAGCCGAATATGGGGGAAAAAAGGATCATATTTCATTATTGCCACATATGCTATTATTTGCAGGTTTCAGGTAATGTAATACACTGACATCCTTTTGGGTTGGTCATCACTAAAGTAAAGGCAAAGAAAAATTTACACAGTCGCACCAAACTCATGCAGGAGGATCGTTTCATCTATTTACTGCTCCACTCTCGGTCTCCTCATATGTGTTCTTTGAAAAACATTCTCCTGGCCTCTTCCTCATGCAGAGCTGGGTCTCAGAGAGTCATTTTCATAGATGTTCACTAACATTTCCCAGTGTTGTTCCTGTTCCTGTGAAGCCCCCCTCTTTCTTCCTTTGGGGCTTCAAACATAGACCCTCCGTGGCAGGCTTATGCTCAGATATTATTTTCTTATGAATAAAGTAAAAGGCAAAAGGCTAGTACTAATCTCTACGCTTACAGGGGCTTCACTTTGGCCTCTTTTTCTGGAAGCTCTTCATCTCTCTCATGCTGATCTGAGTAGTCTTATGCCATTTTTAGGGAGCAGTGACACTGAGACCTCCTTTAGAAATACTGTAGTTATTTCTCTTGCTCAACATGAGAAAGAAAAGTACTTTAAATGTACACAGATATAAGACATACCGCATTGATAGCAAACATCTGTTCTCACCTACATGTTTCAGACAAATTGCTCTAATTATTATTTCTGTGAAGAGACAGTTGACCATTGTCCTTTCTCATTCTTTCATGTTTGAAATAATTTTCCTATTTGTCTGTGCACAATGGATAAAGGTAGCGATGTAGCAACACCTTAAGCTGGACTGTGTGTACTATTTGGTATAATACTTCTAATGCCTCCACTAGATAGCACCAGTAGAGAGATGACCGAAATAAGGACTAGAGATGCAACAAATGTCTCCTGCTGGACCTGAACTACAAGAAATAGGTAACATAAAATGGTAATACTTAAGGTAAATACAAGTACCTGAAAATTCTACTTAAGTACCGGACTTGAGTAAATGTACATGAAATCCCTCCACCTTTGACATAGCTGCATTTGCATTTAGGTTTGCCTTATGAGATCATGAGATCATCAACTTGGACTCAGAGAGCTTGAATTATGAAGACAGTATCAGGTTTTGTGACATTCATCAGAGCGACAAATTTAGGACTGCACTTTTTAGGAATCCATCCATCCCCAGCACAGAGACAAGGGTAAAATTACAAGCTTTATCTGGGTCCTTCTCCTCAACAGTCCGCTCCTGTCATATGAGAGAATATGGGACAGAGAGATGGGATACTCTGCAATCCCATCAAGAAAACCTGACACAGCTAGCTACCAGGCCAAGCAGCCTATACTGTAGCTGTAGAAGGACTGCTCCAGCAGCAGAGCACTGGTGAGGCTCACAGAAAGATGACTCATCAGCGTTTGTTTTGATTTGAACACCCACACCGGAGGAGTTTCCTCTATGTGTGTGTGCGTGAGGGTATGTATCTGCTGGGGTGTGTGCAGACGCAATTGATGTGTAAAGTATGACGCGTACGGATCTGCACTTTAACATTTTAGGCACCAAAGAAAAATGGACTTCTTCTCTGCTCTCTAGCGCTGTCTATACCTCATAAGATCACCCTGTGCTTTCAGGCGCACGGTATCGGCAGCCTGCTGATGCATACAGTGACAGGAAAATGAAAAAAGGCACTTCACTTTTCCTGCAGTAATCTCTCTTTTCCTCTTTGTTTGCTGATGTATTGGAACAAGAAAAAAAATCTAAAAATAAAGGTGATGTGTGACATTTTAGTCAGCGCGAAGAAGTGTGAATGACTGAGAATCATGAGAGGTACAAATTTAGAAGAAATTCAACTTGTTATCTGTCGAACATTTTTGCATATAAGTGTGTAGCAGTGGTACGATATGGACAATGAGACTGCAGGATATGCTCCATTCCTCTGGTGAAAGAATCCCCTGGATGTTATGTGGTTGTTTTAGTGTCCTGGGGTGTTGAGAACCATGTTTACTACCATTCCATACTGTGTCCCCCAATTTAGTCTCCTGCTGACATGGTAAAGAAGTCTGTGCTGGAAAACACGCTTCCCCTGGCTCTGACTGTGTGCTTGTTGTAGTTTCAGCTGCATTAAAGATTAAAGAGCGTGCCTTATTGTGAGGAAACACACACTCACATATACACACACGTAGAGGAAACTCCTCCAGTCGTTGATTTTCATACACAAAAGATATGCGGAGATGCATGCGCTGCATATGGATGCACACGGACACATGCACTGGTTCACAGAAATATATGGTATGTATGAATGTATGCACACTGACACACATGCATAGACACACAAACTCTGGAGCAGCAGCTTTAAGTGGGGCATTGGTAGTCATGGAAACCAGATCTGATCGTGCTGGAGTCACAGCACATGTCATAAGATGGGGAACCAGCAACACACACAGATGCCCCATCTACATTCTGTATGCCTCTAACACATTTAGGCACATAACGAGGCACACATGCATGCAGCACTTGCACAGGCACGCACACACACACACACACACACACACACACACACACACACACACCACTCCTGTTTTATGGCCCTGGGCAGGGAGAGAGTGAGACAGAGAGCAGGGACACGGATTCAGAAATGGGGAGGCGCAAAGCAAAATGAAAGAAAGGCTGAGGAGGCTAAGATGGGGGAGGAAACGAGGGAGTGTGCAAGAGGAAGGGTTGGCATGACGGAGGAAGAGGGGGAGAGCACAGAGGCGATGGCAGAGCGGTGCGGAGAATGGGAGATGCAGTGGGCATCATATCAAAGCACCCGCTCTATCCGGGCGCTCGGACAGAGGGGCCTGTGTGCATGTGTGTATGTGTGTGTGTGTTTTGGATTTTGCACCTGTTGTTCCGGGGCCTGCAGTTTTACGAGCACATATATTAACTTTGAGTAAAGTTTCTCAACCTTGGTGCCAGGACCCCAGATAAGATCACATAATACACGGCCAGGGTCACTGGAGATTTCTGGATATGGCAAAAACTGTGTGAAAAAATAAATGTACGTGACAGCTT